AAGGCTGTGTTAAGCATTTGTGTCTCTATCCAAAAAAAAAAGGTAAAGACCTTAAAAGAATTTAAAGCAGGGGCAGGTGATGCAATTAGGTTTGAGTCTCAAAATGATGCTTTTGGTTATCAGGTGGAGAATGGGTCAAATCGGCCATAGCAAATGTAGCAAGGCCATTTGAAGAGACTTTCACACCTATTTTGGATAGAGATGATAGTAGCGTAGATTAAAGTGGTGATGGCAGTGATGCTGAAAAGTAGATTATTTTCAGGGATATTTAGAAGGTGAAATGACTAAGCTCAGTGATAGATTGGATGTATTTACTACTTTATAAATCTATTACATTAATAAATACATTGATAACACTAGGCAATAAATCTGCATTTTAAGCAAGGTTATGAAAAAATAAAAATGCTTTGTAAATGTCTGTGTGACATTTGAATGAAATGAATATGAATGAAAACACATATTTTGGAAATTCACCAATTTTAGACTGTTTAGATCTGTAGACAGAAAGTAAATATATCTTAGGATAGAAAATAACAGGTGAGGGGTTTGTGTGTGTGTGTGTGTGTGTATGTGTAACAAATACCCTCATTGGTTTTTCTTCCAAATTAAGTCATATGTTTTAATTTAAGGAACATGTTTAAATGTATAAAAATAAGAACCTTAGGATTCAGAGAATTTCCATAAAGAACAGGAGTTTAAAATAAACTTTAACAAAAAAACCAGTGAAACAGAAGTGATGATTGACATATAACACATAAGTGCAATGTTAGCGTTCATTCTAAAAAGTTAGTGGGAATCTCAATAAAGATTTCCAAGAGCCTTTGTACTCTGATGAAAGGGGTGGGGGTTATGTTGGGGGCTCACTGGAAAAGAAAAAGATTCTCTCCACTCTTTATCACCAGGCTGGGGGTATGATCCCTTTATCTGCAAAGTCAGAGCCCTATATGCACAAATTTATTCTTAATGTTCTTCAGATACAAGAAAACATAATTTTTTGCTCATTTAATGCTATCTTACTAACAACCAGAATCCCAGGAATTACTTTTCAGGCTAGAGCTCCTATTCTGCACTATTTAGATTGCAACAATAATAAAATGGCTTCCAAGAAAATGATGGAGCTGATTTTCCAGATCTCCTCTTTAATGTATTTGATAGTTAATGGTGCAAAATTTGAAATGCAAGGAAAAACACATTCAGTACAAAAAGGGGGGGGGGGAGCCACAAAAATGTTTCTTCGTAAAATGCTTTTTTCTTTATAATTCCAAAGACAGAATTAGTTTACAGCATCACTGAAAACAAAGACAAATATTTGAAAACTTTCTAAGCTGTCTGAATCATTTAAATTAAATTTGTAAGGTGAATGTGAGCATATAAAGAATATTATTATCATATACTCTATAGCAATGGCCATTTTCTGGCAGGAGGTTAGGAGCTGAGTCATGATAGCACAGGGTTTGGGCTCTGCATGGCTTCCCTCCCTTCCTCCTGCCTCCTCTGATCTACCCTCTCTCAAAGGTTTTCAACCATTCCCTGCAAGTTATAGAAAACAAATGACTATTAAAATACTGTCAAACGAAATACAGGAAATTAGTAGCATGGAAATAATAGTCTTATTCTCATTTAAAAGGTAAAATAAAAGACAGAAGGAAAAGCCCCACCCTAAAACTCAAGCCCTAAATATCCTCTGCCCCATTCTTCTGTTCCTCACCTCTATCTCAGTGTTTCCATAAGTCTTCAGACTGGGGGGAGGGGGGCACTTATGCTTCTTTGCATTTCTTAGTGGGAGGGGTTATCACTTCTATTCACAGCTGAGAGGTGGGAAGGACTTGGAACTGCTAGAGCAAATGTTGAAATTTTAAATGTATGGAAGTCATTAAATTATAGTTATGGTTCTTAAAGGAAAAAACTATTGGTATTAGATACACTGAATTTATATACTTTGACCAGAGCAGTTGCTTGAGTACGTTTTATGCCAAAGAGGTAAATAACAAATTTTATGTCAACAAACCATAACTTCAAATTTCTTCATATTCTGCATTTAAAATTTCAATACCAGAAATTTTGTCTCAAAATTTAGAAATCACTGATATAATGCTGACTCTTATGAGTAGCTATTTGTGATTATGTCACCATAGTTGGTGGGTACTAAAATTTGGTATACTATCAGTTTAAAGCACCATAAAAGAAATAAATAACAACATTATTTTCATCTCTGGATTCACCAGCTCTAGGGTAAATACATTTTCCTCAGGGTTTTGATAGACATGCACAGCACCAGTCACACCTCCTCCCATGAATCTTTTGTACCCACAGACATATGTATACCTTTCAACATCCAAGATGTACAGTTGAGCTCAACAGTGAAGTCTTTGTTTTGGCAAAGCTAAATGATATGTGTAAACTTAGGCTCATTTGCATTTTGCTGTAAGCCCAAATCACTATGCATTTTAGTTTTCTGAATGATTTAGGACCTTAGAGAAGGGGCTACAGCCATTATAAGGGACAGAAGTATATTCTAATGTGTTTTTGAGCACAGATGCTCTTCAAGATCCGTGGAGTGACTGGGTAAGGCAATAATGTCGCAAATTTCAATGAGGTGGCACTCTCCTTCTGCTTTCAATCCTTTTGTTCTAAGTAATTTCTCCTTTCTTAATAAGGGGGAGTCAAAATATTTACACTATTTGCTGGCATGGTTACTGGGTAACCTAAGCAAAGTATAAAGAGATGGGAAAATAACAATTTGCATAATACTATCATCTACTGTAGATTAAACACATGAAAATAGGAAATTAATCTTAGAACTGAAAAATATCTATTGTCCTAGCAGGTATCACTACTATGACTGATTATGCTTTCTGAGTATAATATTAAATGCAGAAAAATCAATCATGTAGGAAAATAATCTTTTATTAGTAGGAAAGTTGATCTCTTTGCTCAACTTAAATACCTTATATTTAATCCCTATGGTTAAAAATCCCTGATGATTAAGAAAGGGTTAATTCTCAATATACTGCCTAAGGTAGGTTTCTGGAAATATATTCACTACAGGAATTCATTATTTAGTAACATGGGCTGAAGTCAAACCTTAAAGCATAAGAGATTTATTGTTTCAATCTCTTTCAAGTCACGTAATTAAAGGAAATGAGTTTGGGGGCCAGAATGACCTGGCTTTAAATCAGAGCTGCATTTCTTGCTAGCTGTGAAGTCTCTGGGAAATCACTTAACCAAAACTATCTATTTATTACCCTCCTGAAGTGGGTGAATACCACTTACCTTGCAGAGTTGAGACGTGTCCAGGACACGGTAATTACATGGTAATTGTTATAGTTACACAGACAGTAAATAGGAAGACACTGATTTCTTATGTATTTCATATCATTCACAAAGCTCCGTGTTAATTACACAATGCTTGTAAGTAAGGATCACAATAATAATGTAATCTCTTGGCAAAATCTCTGCTGCATAGCATGCAAGTATTTTTTCTAAGTATTATACCTGTAGCAACATTCAATATTACCAAAACTCTATGAGATACTATTTATTATTCTCATTGTACCAATAAGGAAACTGAGGCACAGAGAGGGTAAGTAATTTGCTCATGGAGAAGAGTCTGGATTCAAACCTTGGCAGTATGACTGCAGAGCTAAAAACCCTGAAAATAACATTAATGTAAGATTATTGCCATTCATTCATCAAGTATTACTGAATACATACAAAGTGCCACATGTTGTGCTAGGCGCTAGTGTCCAAAATCTGTATTTGTCAAAATACAGAACCTACAACCTTTACGGAGCTTATAATTTGGCAACAGAGGCAATTACACCACCTCAAAGTGATGACTCAAAAAGCTGTATTTCTCTGGATTGAAAAAAAAAAAAAAGGTCTTCTTCATATTACTATTAATAACCATACAATTCTAAAAATTATGGTACAACCATAACTTACTTATAAAACTGAGCAGGATTTCTATATCTTCTAAATAAAAGTGAATAAAAGTGTCACTGTACTTTGTTCATCTTCCCATCAAGATCTTTTAGGAACAGATACAAAAATTATTCTTAACATTATTACTATGGTGTGTTTAACATATTACCACCAAAATGGGTTACAAAAAGAATGGTCATTAAGAATACCAAGAAATGGTAAAAGTAACTCAAACAAGTAGCAAAGGACTACAGATAAAATAGTCCTATTTTGATGCACATAGAGATAAAAGCAGGGACCCCATGACCAGGTATACAGATCTCCTGCCTCTATTACTTTTTTGTCTTTTCTTTCCTCTCCCCTCACTAGAAGTCTTCAACATTCTTTTTAAACTGTATTAACTACACAAATAATAAAATAAGTAGGCTTCTGATTACCTGAAAAAACTTTATGAGCTTTAGAATTAGGGTTACTCTCATTTCCTTTAGGACAGAATAGTTATACCCTATCAAAATCAAAAAACAGCTGTGCACAATGTATAACTGAAAAACATAGTAAAATACCTATAATGTATATAAAATAAAATGATTTCATTAAAATACAGAGTTACCCTTGTAAGTTTAACCATTTTTGTTTAAAACGACTGTACTACTGCATACTAGTAATTATGTAAATTAAAATTGGGCCAATAATCTAATAGCAGTAGGTTCTGCCTTTTATCCTTTTTTTTTTTTTCTTTTTTTAAAGGGGAAACAGGTTGTTCAGAAGCCAAGAGGGTTAGTAAAAGGAATGGAATCATTTTCAGTTCCGTTTTGGTGAAGGTTATTCTAAAGAGCAATGACTCCCCCCACACACCCACCCTTTTGTCATTAAACAATTGAAACCAAAGGTCAGTAAACAACATGGAAATCAAAAGGAAAAGATGTTGTAAGTGATCTTTAAAAGGCACCTGCTTGTAATTAATATAAAACTATTGGTTTTGCAAGTATTGCCAATCTAGACAGGAACAGCATTTTCCTAGTTCTGAGTCCAAAGAGGGAGAGCTAGAGCTCTCAGTACCCCCAAACAGTGCTCACCTGATTCTGTTTGTCTTCTGGCAACCCCTGGTATATGGCTGAAACTTGCAGGAATTTTCCCAAGATGTGGTTACTTCCCGTCCCTCCTTTTTATTGATTGTCTGCAATTCCCTCAGTTAAAAAACAGGCATCCTTCATATTTCTAAAGTTTATTTAGCTTTTCAAGTGCTGTTTGTGGGATCTGGAACTTTTTTTAAGAGGAAGTCTGAAGGTTCCTTGTAGCAAAGTTTCAGGTACATCGACTGAATCTTTCATTTGCTTACGTACAGAACACTTTTACATTTGCTTTTAAATTTCACTGGTTGGCTTGAAACTTCTTGGAGGAAGAAAACAGTATCTTTTGAAGTTATTGCCTAATTTTTGGCATTTAATTCAAATCATGCCTCACTGGAGTGTATTTCTAACATTCCAAAGGCATATTTCCTTCCCGATTCAGTCATTATGAGATGATATCAGTCTTTCTGTAGTAAAAAATATGCATTTTGTGATTCATTTCGCCACCTCAGATTCTCAGACATAACCTTATTTGTGCGGTTTATTCAAACAGTGGTTTTCCTTATGATATTCTGTAAAGAGGAACCATCTGGAAAGGTTACTGTGGAAACTGCAGGGGCTAGGGGGTGGGGCTAGAGAGCAAGAGATGCCATGACAACCTTTTTCGGGTTTCCCAGGAAACAGGGGTTGCTATGGGAACTGCATCAGTCAGGTCCGAATTAGTAACTTCCGCTGGAAGGAGTGTCTGCCACTTTAATCTTCTTGTGATACTGCAGAAGCTTATCTCCCAGACGCATTAGGAATTTTGTTTGTTTCTCTCAGCAGCACTGAAAACATCTGTTTCTACACTTTGATAGATGTTGCCAGGAACACACACACAGAACTTCAGAGGAATCTGCCTGTCTGCCCCCCTTTCGAAATACTTAACAAGCCCTAAAGAGTTCAACTGATTTAGTCAGATCAGGACACCTTGGGCATTTCCCTTTGTTCAAAATGGTAGAAATGTTTAAAATTCCGGGAGGGGTTCCGAATAGAAATTCCAGTCAAAAAAACAAATAAACTTACAGTGGGTTTACAAGTCATTGTTCTAATTAGACTTCTCATACACGTATCCACAGCGAAGGCAACTGAACTAAATATTCAATAATGTTAATGGGTCCAGCAAACAGAAGCATCCTTTAAGTATATGCCTTCTTTACTTAGTAAAGAAACAACTGTCTTTTCAATTCTGAGGTTAGGCAGTTATTCTAACTGTTCTTTAGTTTCATTTCCTCCCAGGATGTACTTTTTTTTTTTTTTTAAAGAGGGTGTGTACTAGAAATGAAGTTTACAGTAAGTTTGTTCTTTGCGATATTACAGAAGGAGGAGAGAAAAAAAATGGAGAGCTGAGAGAATGCAGCCCACTTGCAAAACTGACACCTGTTTCAGTATGAAGCAGTAGGGAGAGGGAAAATGAAGTGTGCTTTCCACTTCTTCAAGTCCTTTCCTTGATGAATGGTCTGGAAATGTATAAAACAAGGGCATACACAGACCAAGGGGGCACGTTCCACACAATACTGAGCACAGCATGTCACTTGTAGCATATATTAAACATCAGTAAATATCTTTTTGATGTTGACACAGGAGTTGGGATTATTGTTCGTGGTGCAGGTGGCCGTGGAATTGCCCGTTTTGAAAGGGGTCTGGGGGAACGCGCTATGGTTCATGCCCCCCTCTTCGATCACCATATACTCCGACTTACTCAGAGTCGAGTTACTCCTTGCTTTTCGGAGCTCCTCGGCCGAAGAGGAGAGGTGCTGGCAACTTCCCACATGCATGTACTGGGCTTGCTCTTCCCCTTCTGTCTCCCGGTGGTAGAAGTAATTGAAGTTGGAAACAATCACGGGGACTGGCAAAGCAATGGTCAAGACACCAGCGATGGCACAGAGTGACCCCACAATCTTGCCCCCTATGGTCACCGGGTGCATATCCCCATAACCTACGGTTGTCATGGTTACCACTGCCCACCAGAAGGCATCCGGGATACTGCTAAAACCAGAAGTGGGGTCGTCTGCCTCGGCAAAGTAGACCGCGCTGGAGAAGAGAATGACCCCAATGAAGAGGAAGAAGATGAGCAGCCCCAGCTCCCGCATGGAAGCCTTCAGCGTCTGGCCCAGGATCTGCAGTCCCTTGGAGTGCCGGGAGAGCTTGAAGATGCGGAAGACCCGCACCAGCCGGATGACCCTCAGGATGGCCAGGGACATGGCCTGCTGTCCATTGCCCTGTCGCTCAGCCAGCTCGGTGCCCAGAGTGATGAAATAAGGGATGATGGCCACGATGTCTATCAGGTTCATGATATTTCGCGAGAAGGTGGCTTTGCTGGGGCAAGCGAAGAACCGCACGAGCAGCTCAAAGGAGAACCAGATGATGCACAGGGTCTCCACTACGAAGAAGGGATCCGAGAAGCTGGAGGCTCCAGCTGGGGCCCCCGACGTGCTGTTGCTGGCCTCGAACTGCTCCTGCGACGACGCGGCGGGGTAGTCCTTCTCGTCGCGGAACTCGGGCAGCGTCTCCAGGCAGAAGATGACAATGGAGATGAGGATGACGAGCACGGACACGATGGCGATGCCCCGCGCCGGCCCGGAGCTCTCCGGGTACTCGAAGAGCAGCCACACCTGGCGCTGGAAGTCGCGGCGGGGCAGCGGCCGCTCTTCCTCCCGCAGGAAGCCCTCGTCCTCGCGGAACTTCTCCATGGCCTCCTCGCCCAGCTGGTAGAAGCGGATCTCCTCGGAGAAGATGTCGATGGGCACGTTGACCGGCCGGCGGATGCGGCCGCCCGACTGGTAGTAGTAGAGGATGGCGTCGAAGCTGGGCCGGTTGCGGTCGAAGAAGTACTCGTTGCGGAGCGGGTCGAAGTACCTCATGCGCCGCTTGGGGTCGCCCAGCAGCGTCTCCGGGAACTGACAGAGGGTCTTGAGCTGCGTCTCGAAGCGCAGCCCGGAGATGTTGATGACCACGCGCTCCCCGCAGCAGTCCTGCTCCCCGGCGGCCGGCAGCGCGGGCGGCAGCGGCTCGTAGCGGTCGCGGTCGCAGCCGCCGCCGCCGCCGCCACAGCCGCCCTGAGGCGGGCCCCCGCCGCCGTCGGCCGCCTCCGGCTCCAGCAGGTGGTCCCCGGGTACCACCGTCATGTCGGGCGGCAGCGCTGGGCCTGCGGCGGGCTCGGCGTAGCCGGGGTTCACCAGGTTGTGGGCGCCGCCGCCGCTCGCGGGGCGCTGGGGAGGGTGGGCGCGGTGGCGGGCGGAGGGCGGCGGCGGCGAGCGCAGCAGGCTGAGGTGCTCGTCCATGCGGCGGGAAGAGGCGGCGGCGCGGATCGCGTCGCTCCTCCTCGCGCTCCCCGCCCCTCTGCCGCCTCCGCCCCCCCTCCCCGAGCCCGGCCCGCCGCCTGTTGCTGCCGCGGCTGCCCGGGCCGCTGCCACCGCGAGGCTCGGAGCGGATCTGGCGCCGTCCGCCGGGTTCCTTAGGGGCTACGCCTCCTCGCCCGCCCCCGCGCTGCCCCGCCCCTCCCCCGCGGAGCGCGCGCCCGCCCGCCCCTCCGCGGCCCCTCAGGATGCCCGCCCACCGCGCGGGCACGCGCCAGGCTTTGCCGCCCGGCGGCTCACGGGGGCCGCGAGCCCGGGCCCCCGTCTCCCGAGCCCCCGAGCCCCTCTTTCCGCCGCCGCGCCCCTCTGGGCTGCCCAGGCGCCCTCGCTTTGCACTTCGGTGTCCTCGCGAGCCCCCGCCCGGCCGAGACGGCCCTCGTGGAATCCGGACCCGGACCCCCTCCACCGATGGTCAGCCCCTCCCCCCCGGCCCGCGTTGCTGCGTCCCAGCCCCGGGGCTTCTGGCCGGGCCTGGGCCACCCCGCCGCCCGGCGAGCGGCGGCCGCCTCGCCCTGCACGCGCCACCCGGGCCCGCCCGGGGAGGAAGGCTCAGCGGGGGCCGGGGCGGGCGAGGAGAGAGGATGGGGATGCGCTCTGGGCAGGGAGCTTGGTCGAAGGAGGGAGCGACTGGCCGAGTGGGCGTCCTGGGGAAGGGACCCTGAGTTCCCTGAGGCTGGGCGACCGCCGGGGCGGGAGCGCTCTGAGCACTTCAGCTCCCGTGCTCAGGAGAAGCCCAACGCAGTAATGGGTTCCAACGACTTTGGCACCCGGGGTCTGAAGAAGATGGGTCATGAAAGGCATTCAGGGACTTTGCTTCTGTAGCGAAGAGTTCTCACTAACGTTCGTGGCGGAGATTCGGGGCGCGAGGGGGTGGTGGGGGGCGAGAATCAAGGACCGAGTTTCTGGTTGGGATGGGCGAGGGCAGCCTGGTCTTTTCAGAAGAGCGAGGTTTCCCGTCGGTGGGAACAGGAGAGGGAAATGAGAAGGGAAATGCACATCTTGTCCCAAGTCTGTCGTGGGAGGGACTGGAGAGCGACTGGCACCCAGACCCTGAACGTTCCACTGCTAGCTTTGTGGTAAGGTTTGCCACGCTCCAGTTGTGAAACCGGGAGAACAATCAGCCGGCAACTTGTAACTCTCTTGCTTGACCTGGGCCTGGAGATAACATTATCCCCTTGGATTTGAAAACGGTTTCTTCAAATTGTGGTCATTTTGACCCCGATTTCTGTGTCTAGACATTTTAGCAACTCCAATTTAGAGCCTACTCTAGAATTTATAATGCATTTCCTACTGTATCATTCAAATCATTCACAAAAGAGAAACTGTTGTCTGGGCTACTCCCTCACCCATCATCCCTTAGCTGACAATTCAACAGGCAAAGTAACTGCAATTTGTGGTCACATTTTCCCCCCAGCACTGGCAACCAAGGCTTTCTAGGGCAGAGTTCAGGTCTTACCCAATTTATATCCTGGAAAGTACCAAAGTGCCTGAGAAGTAGTAGGAACTCTGTATGTTTGTCGAATTGAGTTCCCCAACAAGGGAATCTTTGCATGTCTATCTGCTCTGGAGCGTCAGGCATTTCTCATTTCTGAACCTGGAACCACTGGGATTCCTGAGATAGAGTGAGAGGAAGCAGTTCACAGTATGTACGTTACTCTTTGCTCGGTTATTCCACCTTGCCCTTTTGTGGGTACAACAAGCACTTACGTTCTTTAATGTCCTTTTATCTTTTACTTCACCTCTAGGTCGGTGCCAGGCACTGCAGACGGTAACGTGTTATAAGATGGAAAAAGTAGACAACGATGTAAAACACTCTCACAAAACTGAACACTGTTTTTGAGCTGATGATTAGGGTAGCAGTATAATCCATCATTCATATATTTAAAGCTAAGAATAAGACCGTCGGCTTGCTGCAAGGTTGGTGCATAGAAAGGCAAAGACCCTATTTTTAAAGACCAAATGTTTCGTGCACTTCTGTGACTGACCTAGAAAGTGATTTATTTCTCCATTTGCAGGAATTAGTACTGGAATTAATATTAATCAATGACAAGGAAGAGCAGAACAGAGGATGGTCCTGTGATGGATGGTCCTGTGAAGTATCTTTCCTTCAGAAATGACTCTTTCCATTACTTTCATGTATTTGCCTTGTCTGGAAGACTGATTATGAGCTTCTTAGGACAGCCTTCACTTTAGATTTGAGGCCCAGAGAAGTTTAGCAATTTTTTCAAGCCCACACAGCTGGTTGGTAGCAGAGCTGGGCCTAAAATCTTGGACCATTTCCAAATCCAATGTTTACTGTATCACACTGTGAAACTCTTATGTTGATCACTGTGAGTGCTTAATAAATATTAGATTTCTAACAGCAGCCCATTTGCTTTTGATTGCTGACTAGTTCACTTCAATTCATATTTATTTTAACTGAAAATCATTGCCTTCTGACAGTTAGTCTATTGTTTATAAGAAATGAGTTGGTGGGCGAATTCCAGCCCTGTTGGACAGCAGAACCCATCACAACAAATCAATGTCAAAAATGGTACTTCAGGAGGAACACATACCATTTATTTAGTACCCCCAGTGGAGTAGCTCAAAGTAATTTGAAAATATCTCATTAATCCTCATGACACCCCTGTGGGATAATAATAATATTATTATAATGTTTAAGCATAGAACTGTGGCAAAGCCAACAGCTTTTCTGAGTATGTGCAGATTTTATTCGTATTTCAAGTCTTCACTATTAGAGCGTAAGTCAAACCATCAGCTTTGCAAACAGCAAGGGTAAATCTTGGTTTGGGCATTCTGTGTTGCTCTGGACATCACCTGAGTTTCTTACTGATCCCAAGAGACTTAGAAGTAGCTCGCCAATGACTTGCCAGATGCTTTGCAGCTCCTGGAATAGGTCCAGAAGTGTTTGAGAGTGGGACAAGGCAGGTCTAGAAGTTACCACTATTTATAACGATAGATAAATGAGTGAAAAAACCCCACCTACTATGTGCAAAGTATTGCTCTAGGTGCTGTGGGAGTACAGAGTCTGAACGTAGACTTACCCCTCAATAAACTTGCATGGAGCTGGGAAGACAGGATACAAGTCTGTGAAAATCTTTACCACACATTAGTTAACAAATCAGGGAATAGTTCCAGAAATGTCACAAGATGCCCTGTGACTCTTTGGTCTATTCTAGCCAAGTTGCTACCTGCTGTTTCTCAATCATACTAAACTGGTTCCTACCTCTGGGACTTGGTGCTTGTTCTTCCCTCTGCCTGAAACACACTTTCTCCAGAGTCTCACGTGGCTTTCTTCATCACTTTAGGTCTCTGTTTTTTTGTTTTGTTTTGCTTTAAAATTTTATTTATTTATTTGACAGAGAGAGACACAACAAGAGAGGGAACACAACCAGAGGGAGTGGGAGAAGGAGAAGCAGGCTTCCAGCCGAGCAGGGAGCCTGATCTGGGGCTCAATCCCAGGACCCTGGGATCATGACATAAGCCAATGGCAGATGCTTAACGACTGAGCCACCCAGGTGCCCCTAGGTCTCTGTTTAAAATGTCCCATCAGGGACGCCTGGGTGGCTCAGTTGGTTAAGCAGCTGCCTTCGGCTCAGGTCATGATCCCAGTGTCCTGGGATCGAGTCCCACATCGGGCTCCTTGCTCAGCAGGGAGCCTGCTTCTCCCTCTGCCTCTGCCTGCCATTCTGTCTGCCTGTGCTCGCTCTCTCTCCCTCTCTCTCTCTCTGACAAATAAATAAATAAAATCTTTAAAAAAAAAAAAAAATGTCCCATCATCAGAGATAACTTCCCAGACTGCAACCACCTGATTTCAAAGAATTCCCCTTTCTCTCCCCCTTGGTAACTTTCTAACTTCTGACCTCCTTTATTTTTCCTTATTGTGTTTATTTACTTGAAATTAGATTTTCCATTTATTTGGTTACTTGCTTACTATCTCCTGCATTAAAACATAAACTCCCCGATGGCAGGGTTTGACTTTTTTACTTGTATGTCACTAAAATCTAGACTAATACTTGGCACATAAGAGATGCTTAATCAGTATGTGGTGAATGGTGGAAAGGGAAGGTGTGGTGTGAACGTACATGGCATATTAAGGTACGGTGAGTGAACCAGTTTGCTGGTGCAGAGGGGTTATTCTGGAGAGGTCTTTGTCCAGTTCTGGTTCTGTCTCCTAGAACGAGCTAGGCTGTGCAGATAGGCATAAGTTGTTGTTTTTTAAAGTGTCACTTCCTCTTTCTCTACTTATGCTTCCCCCACCCTCCTGAATGGGTCTCTCCTACACTCCGGAATTTTACTCTCAACTGCCCACTGGGATATTCTTCCTCAAGAGACCCCAAACTTAATATTTATAGCACTGAACTCATTATCTTTCTCTCCAACGTTGCTTCTCTTCCTGTTTCTCCTATTTCATGCTAGAATACGAAGTCATCCCTGAATCACTCCTCTGCCCCCCACATCCAGTCAGTCACCAAGTGCTTTTTGCTCTCCCTTCAAGTCCCTCTCAGTTCTGTCCTCACCACTTCCTTCTTGCTGCCTCTGCCCCAGTTCAGGCTGTCATGACTGTGTCATAACAGGCTCCCTGCTTTCAGACTCTCTTTTATGTATTGGATCCGCCAGGAAGTAGCTGAGTTATTTCTGTAAAACATCGAGTTGATCACATTGCTCTCTGGTGCCGCCATGATGGTTGAACCCTGGTGCTGACTTGACCTTCTGGCAGGAGCTTCTGTGTTCTTCCCACACCACTTACTGGTTCCCACGCCATGCATTTGCAGACTGTTATGCCTCTGCTCGTGCTAGCCACTCATGCTCTAGCTCACTGGACACCCCTTCTACCTTCTTCCCACTGGAGAATTCAATCTTCAAGGTCTAGCTTAGATGTCACCTCTTCTGAGATCTGCTCCCACTCCATGACTGTCAGCCAT